CGTGGCCACAGTCAGGGGAAGGGGCTTTTAGTGGCACTCTAACAGTGGTTACTGTCCTAAAATTGCATAGTGCGTGCTGAGATAACAAGGGGCCTGCAGTGCCGTGGGAACCAGTGCGTGAATCTACCTGAAGATAGTTGGCAAGCGCCTCAGTTGAGCTTCATTGATGAACTTTCAGTTACTTTTTTTTTTTTAAGGAACTGATTTCATTGAGTCAATTTATGTCACAAAACATTTTCTACTAGAAAACATTGGTTTGCTTTCTGACCCCACAGATATAGAGAAGACCGGTTGCCTGTGGCCATGTCTAAATACATGCCTTCTCAGACGGAAGTAATAGAACCTGGAGAAAGAGGAAAAGCTCTAACCACAGGACCTGCAGAATTTCTCATCACACCATCCTCACCCTGCATGTACATGTTTAGTCTTTGTTTCCTTCTCACAGTCGGCCCTTCCTACCCTCTCTGCCTGCTCAGTGCTTCTTTAGCCACAGGCTATTGCTTATGTGTTTGCTGCCAACTTGGCTGGTGAGCAGCCAGGCCTGGAGGAAATAGAGGGTCCTGGCAAGAATGCCAACGGAAGGCCCCAAGAGAGGCAGCTCCTGATTCCTCCCACAATACAACTGTGCCTCCATTCAACAGCGATGGGACTAGAAGCCACTCTGGAGTCCCCAGGAACCTGGTTAGCGAAAAATGGTCCTGCTATCTGGGCACAGCCTCTGAGTGTGTGCAGGAATGGACAGGGAGGGCCACAGGGTCTTTTAGAGACAGGTTCAAGCAACTCGCTTAGGAGAACAAATATAAATATATATATATATATATATATATATATACACACACACACACACACACACACACACACACACATATATATATATATATATATATATATATATATAACTGATTTTTTTTTTTTACAGAGAGGGAGAAGGATAGAGAGCTCAAAACACTGATCAGCTGTCCCCTGCACCCCCCCCCCCCACTGGGGATGTGCCCACAACCAAGGCACATGCCCTTAACTGGAATTGACCTTGGGTTCGTTCAGTCCACAGGCCAATGCTCCATCCACTGAGCCAAACCAGTTTTGGCAGGAGAACATTCTAAAAACCTCTGGCTCTTATCTGCTTGTATCAAACCAAGAAAATTCATCCTTGTTTTCCAGGGTGACCAACTTCAGACCAGGCAAACCTCATGGACTGTGGTCGCCTCCAGGAGCTGAGATTTGGTGGGAGTGACCGAGGCTCTCTGAACAAATGCGTGTGCGAGGTCCACTGGCAGCATAGTTCCTGGCATGGAGAGTCTCCACGGACTGTGTCTTGCACTGTCCAGGGTTGCCCATCTTATCCTACTAGCTACCTTCTTGCCTTCCCTCAGTCCCAGCAGATGCCTCAGGGGGACGACCAGGCCCTGGAGGCCTTGCCTTGGGAGCACTGGCCTCAAGGGGGTCTGGTGTCTGTGGGCAGCCAGAGGAAGCTTGTGAATGGAGAGCTTGTCCCTTCAGGGAAGGGAGACGTGTGCATAGACTTCTCTCTCTCTCTCTCTCTCTCTCTCTCTCTGTCCCTCTTGTTAGGCAGTTAGGCCATTGGGTATCAGCCTGAGGATACAGGTTTTGAGTTGATTGCTGTAGCTAGTGACTGACTGGATCATACCTATAGCTGTTCACTCCCCACCCTCTCAGTTTCTCAGACGGTGGGCCTGGGAAAGGTGAGCCTAAGGTGGTGGGGCTTCCTAACTTGTCCAAAGGGTTGAGGAGCTGCGCATGGGGATCTCAGGGGCCTCCAGCCCCGAGCTAATGCAGGCACTCAGAGCCTGGCTTCTAAGTGGCTGGTGGGAAGCATTAACCTGACAGTTTTTCTTTCCCCTCTCCGGTGGGGTGTCGGTGGCAGTGGCGGTGGCGTGGCCAGGGTTGAGAACTAGTCTTTGGGAACCACTCCCTTTCTCTCTGCAGGTAGCAGGAGGTGCACCTTCTCCCCAGCCTTGCTTCCGGGCTGGGAGAGCGTGGGAATTAAGAAGCACATCCACCTATCCTGGCTGCTTTGACTTAGACTCTGCGACTTGTGAAAGGACAGGGTAACTTCTACAGCTATGGATTACAACCACGGCAAACAAAACGTGGTTGAGGCTTGCACTTTCTGTCGAGTGGAATTTATTGAACTAGAGCCTGGGATAAGCTCAGACGAGGAAATGAAATTTTCCCGAAGGCCGATTTTCCAGACACAGGCTCAGCTGAGATGCAGTGCGCGGAGGTGTAGAGGGCGAGCCAGCCAGGGCAGGCGCAGCTCAGGAGCGCGCAGCGATCCGCTCCTCTCCCTCGGAGCTGCAGGGATCCAGCTGGGAGGCTCAGCGGCAGAATGCGCCCAGTGTTGTCATCTTTCACAATTCAGTGTTTGCAGGTCTTTAAAAAAAATCCAAATACATAACACTCTTGTTATAGGTTTTTCAAGGTTAGTGGCATCCACCCGATTTGCTTCCTCACACCATGCCAATGCGGTTCTAAGAGCACACATTTTTTTTAAAACCTCCAGTACCCAGGAGAGTTGAGAAGGGGCTTTGTGGTCTGATTTGCCACATTCAATCACTGCCCACAAGAACCGGTCATTTCTTTCCCTTAGCAAGCGCCCAGCTCTTCCTAATCGCCCGGGGACCCCAGAGAAAGTGGGAGTGCACCTTGCCATCCTTCAGGTTGAAATGGACTAAAACCCAAGCAAGTGTCTTGACCTGCCTGGGTCACTCCAAAATTTGATCTCCAACTGGAATCTTGCAGGAAGGAGAGATCAATTTCAGGAGACGTGGGGCTTGAAAGCTGAAACAAAGAAGAAATAAGAGGAGGAATCTGGCTCCAGAAGCTTGGCCCCAGAGTGGTCTCTCTCCCCCCCACCCCGCCCCCTCCCAGTTTGGGGTGGGACTGGCAATGTGTCAGAGGCAGGATCCACTCTCCTGCTCTTTCAGCAGATAAGGGGCCCTGGGGTAGGGGGAATAGACAACTAGATTTGCGTTGGAAAATCTTTGCCACTGGAGGCATCAGCGGTAGGTGTACTGAGTGGCAGGCAGGAAAACGTGCTGGTGGCATTCAGCAGTGCCATCAGGCCTTAGACCATGACAGCTTTGTCACAGACCCAAGGGCATCATTTGCAGCAGGCACAGCGTTCAGTGTGAGGATCTCACAATTATTCACCCTGGAAAGAGGTCAAGGGAACCATTCCTGGCAACCAGGTCTGTTTTCAAGGCCCAGGATTGCTTTGCCTACTAACTAGTTAAGTAGTAAGCACAGAGCCCGAGCCTCCGACAGTGGGAAGAGAAGGGGTTGTCAGCCCAGGACAGCATCTCATATATGGTCTCAGGGGCACTATGCCCAGCTATGCACATCTGTGAGTGGTGTGCTCTTTTTTCTGCCCAGTGGCTTTGCTAAGCTGTCAAGGTGACTTCCTTTTACAGCTGCCTTGATATTATGTATTCTAGCTGGGGACAATTTCCAGTCCTGAAAAAAAAACCTACATGCTTTTTATATGCTCTTCATTATGGAAATGGGACTCCTTAAGTGGGTACTCCATAATGGATGGAGTACCCTATCTTAGCGTCAACCTTGGCTTATGTGAATTGGCCTTATCTGTTAAAATCACACCCTTTTCATTAAAATGACCAATGCATAATGTATCAGAGCTAGGTTCAAAGCTTCAAAATGTGTTTTCAGACGGAAATATTCCAAGAATGCAAGTCAGGTATATTTCTCAGATAAATGACAGTAGGGGCCTTGCCTACACTGACATTCCCGGTTCTCAGGTTTCCTGAAACCCGGCGCGCTCATCATTAATCATTCATTGGGGTCGGCCCTTCAGTCAATGGCAGCTCTGAGTAAGCTGAAGCGAGCCGTTCGCTAATCCTTCCTGCCAAGAGGATCCCGGGGTGAGAGAGGACAACTGGTTAGCCAGCCACATGTGCTGGTGCCCAGACGCTGCCCCTGTCGCCCGGCTCAGAGCGAGCGAATGAGTGTGGGTGTGCGTGTGCGCTCACCCTCTCGGACACATATCCAAGGCTTCCCAGAAGGAAAAACAAATTTGGCCTAATAATGAGCGCCACTAGAGTTTCCTACTTGAGTTGTGGAGCAATGGCTCAAGGCGGCCCTCTAAACGCTGACTAAACCCAATTCCTTAGCTCTTTCCTAAATCAGTGAGCACCACCATCGCAACCAGAGGCGCCGCTCCAAAACCTGCCCAAGTTGGGCTGCGCGTCCTGGCGAGGTTCCCCGCGGAAGCGCTGGAAGGCGTGGGATCTCCCAGCGGGACCCACCTCCCGGGGAATCCCCGGGGCGCCGGGCAGCGAAAGCGGGGTCTGCTGGGCCTCGGGAAGGGAACCTGGAGATCGGGTCCCGCCCGCGCAGGCAGGCAAGAGCGCTGGGCCGCCGGGGCGCAGGCGGGCGGCGGAGGCGGAGAGGACGAGAACTCACTTCCAGGCTTTAAGCCCCCGTTTCCGTCGCGGCCCCGGGGGCCCGGCTGCACGCGCGCAGCTGAGCTCCGCGCTGCCTTGGCTCGGGGCCCGGGGCGGCCGCGGGGCGCGTGGGAACCAGCGGGGGTGCGTGGCCCCGGCGCGGGCGCGCGCGTCCCCGCGTTGGGGTGCGCAGCTCCTCTCCACCTGGCTTTCCCACCCCCTCCCTCGGTCTCATCCCCTCCCCCCTCACATCCTCCGCCCCCGAGACCCGCAGGCGCCCTCCTCGCCCCGGCCGGAGAGTGCACGGAGCGCCGGGTGAGGGGGAGCCTCGCGGCAGGCGTGCGCGGAGCAGTGAGATCACCGGCGTTATAAATATCCCGGTGCCAGCGCCGAGATCCGTTCGGGTGGCCTCTCTCTCTCTCTCTCTCTCTCTCTCTCCCCCCCCCCCCGCCCCGAGGCTATGTCCACCCGGCGCGGCGAGGGGGGCAGCGCCAGAGGCACGCAGCCGCGCGGGGGCTACGGAGCCCAGAGCCACCGGCCCCGCAAGATGCACTTCGGACCCCCGCGGCTGGAAGCATGAGCTTGTCCTTCCTCCTCCTCTTCCTCAGCCACCTGACCCTCAGCGCCTGGGCTCACGGGGGGAAGCGCCTGGCCCCCAAAGGGCACCTGGGACCGGCTGCGGCGGCGGAGAAGGTCCCGGGAGGCTCCCGCGGCCGCCGGAACAGCAGCAGCAGCAGCAGCAGCAGCAGCGCGCCGCCCTCCTCCGCCTCCTCCCCCGCGACCTCCCCCCCGGGCGGCCCGGGCAGCGGCGCCGAGCAGAGCGGCTTCCAGTGGACGCCCTCCGGCCGCCGCACCGGCAGCCTCTACTGCAGGGTGGGCATCGGCTTCCATCTGCAGATCTACCCGGATGGCAAAGTCAACGGCTCCCACGAAGCCAATATGCTAAGTGAGTGGCTCGCTCTCTGGAGCAAAGCCTGCCCTAAGCGGGTGGCCGGACGCTGGGGAGGGACAGCCGGGGATTCCCGGGGCCGCCGGCTGAGGAAACAGCCTGGCGGGTGGGGGAGATGCGTTTGTATGGCTTGCACACACGCATCCCGCGAGTGGGTAAGGAATGGAGATTCCCGAAGGGTAGCCTCCCCGGAGGCTGGTGCGCAGAGATAGGTACCGTGTTTCCAGTCTGCCTGGTCCCAAAGGGGAGCCTCCAGCCTGTGCCTGGGAAAAACACACCCAGACATCTCCTTCTTCTTCCTCCTTCAGTGTCTCTTTACTTTCTGCTTCTGTTTATGAGGCTAGCATTTTTCACTAGGCATCCAAGTGAGTCCCCTGTCCTTACCCAGGACTTGTTTTTATTTTTATTTTTAGAAGAATAAAACTGACATATCCCCTGAACCACCACCATAAACCCCCAAATTATATATATATATATATATATATATATTTAACACATGCACAGGTATATTTATGGGGTATACGTATGTGCACGTTACACACATAAAGAATAATGTATATGTACATTCTAGGGGAGTCTAGATGTCCCTGTTTGGAAGAAGATAGTGATCTGGCAAACTGGTCACGTTTAGGAAAGGCAATCGTAGTGGACATTGGCATTTTAGCTCTAGAGTTGGGTTTAGTTAATAGCGTTTAGTATCTTGAGACCAAGACAGCGCCTTTAGAAAGAGCAGCCGGCCTTTGGTCCCCAAGGACAATCAGGGTAAAGCTCTTTATTTTAAAAGAAATTCAGCGGAGCTTCAATTCGGTACAGGTGCAAATTGTGTAGTTTTTTTTTTTTTTTTTTTAAAGCCAGGTTTTACATTTTCTGAGTTTTCTCTTTAACACTTTCTTTCGCTACTTTCTCATTTGTCTTCCCCGGATCAGCATTTCCAGATACCACCTCCCTCCTCCGCTTCCTCTCACCGCCCCAGGCAGCTGGGGGTGTGAGCCCTTCTGGGGCGGTCCAGGAGGCTTTTCCTCAGTTGGGCCAGATCGCTCTTCTCCCGGAAGTTAGTCAATCCATCAGGTTGGACCCCAGAGAGGGGAAAGGTGGCCCGTAGACAGCGATACTGTCACGGCTCACGGGTGTCAGCCTGGTAGCTCCCAGGTGTGCTTCAGTCTCCACCCTCTTCTGCCCAGAGCAAAGCCTGGCCCTCGGAAATCGCTCACTTAATCTGTTGAGTGACTACATTCCTCACTGAAGGAGGGGGAGACCGGCTGGTCACTTGCTCTGGCTCAAACCCAGGACCGTGCAGGCCGCCGAGCTTCTGATCCTCCAGGCTCGGGAGGAGCGCGGGGCCACAGGGGACTGACCTCCAGAGTAGAGGTGTCCAGGACTCTGGGGGGACCAGCCGGCAAGCCTCTCGCCTGGGGCTCAGGAGGCGGGTGAAAATGATCTCCGGGATGCAGAGGTTCTCTCTGGAAGAGCGATGCCCACGCCCTGCCACAGGCTGGCGGCTCCCGGAGCCCCAGCCAGCTGTGCTGCACGTGGCAGCGGTGTGGCCTGGACACACGGGGAGAGGCCCTCCACATGCGCCTTCCTAAATCCCAGGGACTCCCACACGTTCTTAGGGGAGCCCATTTCTATGTGGTAAGGTTCCTGTCACCATTACAAAACAACTCACCGCCTTTGGTGACAGGGTGAAGGGGCATTTCCTGAGATTTCAGGAACAGGAAAGTTAAGTTTCTTTCAGAAATTTCATTCATCCTTATTTTGTTCCGCGAAACCCTTATTCCATCAGACATCCGGGCTCCTTGCCCACTGCTAGAACTCTTTCCTCCTTTATTTTACTTGAAAACCTTCTTTTAAAATTCTGTTCTTGTAGTTTATTTAGGTAATGAGTACTCCCAGAGGATAACTTCTGGGTTCCCCAGGGCAGACCCAAAGTTAGCATGCATCAGACAGCAGTTTGGGTCGCAGCGAATTAAAGAGTGTCTGGGGTGTGTTTCGTGTGCTAGGTATCTCTGTAAAACAGACTTAATCCCAAGACATTCACCCCCTTCTCATATAGATTAAAAAAAAGTGCAGTTTAGGCCTTGCCCAAGAGAAGTTGTAGAAAAGTATAGGAAGGAAAAAGAGAACAGCTCAATAGAGAATATTTTCAGCTGCAGAAGGCATTGACCAATATTTTATTTCTAAGATCTAATTTATTTTAAAATTCACTTTGAAAAATGTCTGCAAAGAATAGGGATGTTTTCTAAACAGTGACTGAGAGAACTTTTTTTAAACTAACACTTTTCTAATTAATTCTAATTTACCATAGCCTTACAGAGTTTAGTCTGTGTGTTTTACATGGCATGTGATCACTCATTCATCCATTCATTCATGCACCCAATATAGGATACCTATTGTACCCAGCCTGATATTTTGGTTACTATTGGGCTCATTGGGGGTGGGGGGTGTCTTTTTGTTTTTGACTTCCATATTTTTTTGTCACAAAGGGAACAATAACTGAAGGGTTCAAATCCTGGTGACTTTTCTGCTTTGTGATGCCTGGAGTGGCCAATACTACTTCATAAGATTTTGCTACCATTGATTCATGAAGAGTGTATGGAATATGTCATATTTACTAGAATGGCATGCAATTTGGAAATTTAAAATGAGTCTCTACCCTTAAGTAGCTGTGAAAGAAAAACAGAAGCCTAGTAATTACAGTTGGACACATATCCCTTTGAAGGCACAGCACTTGATGGTTTCTTGACATATGCCAACTAAGACATTGGTCATGGACTGTTGGTTACAGTCCATGAGGAGGCATTTGTCTAAGTCTCACAGGAGACATTGAAAGAGCTGGTATCATAGAAGACAATAGAGGATACATCAGAATTTTACCTCATCACCTAATTCTTCTGCCTATGAGTGAGCAATGACAGAAAACATTTTTTTTGTATTTGTATGTTACAGCTTGCTACTTCAGAAAAGAGTCAACATTTTGCTATGAAGCTGCAATCTAACAGGTTCTTTTAAACTCAATAATTTCCTTTGATATTTGTGAGATCAAACATATATATATCTCACATATATATATCACATATATATATGTATATGTATTTCCCAACTATAATGTGACATAAAATTTTTGCAACTGTGAATGTCTTCCAGTTTCACTGTGAGAAGTACACACTGGCCATACATTTTTGAAATACAATTTGTTGAGCTAAAATATACCATTTAATATACTCTTATACAATAGCTAGCCCAAGGTTTGAAGACAGAGAAAAGAATCAAGCTTATTGCACATCTACTCTTACTATGGGGAAATACCAGGGAAGGATAAGAAAGATAGGACAAAAATAGATGATGAAATCCAATTATTGAATAAAAACAAAGGCTTTGCTTTAATTTATATTGATTAAGGTTAGTTTCAATACAATGCTTCTGCTGTCTTATCTTAGCCTATTAAAGCATAGACAATTATGCATTTCTCAATTTTGGGACCAAAAGTTTAAGACTATAACCATAGAAAATCAAAGTCTTCATATGAAAATGAAAATCCCAATAATATATTTCAGAAATCTGAATTCACTAGCAATTTTGATGATATGTAGAGTCAACCTTTATATAGTCCCCCAAGCCTAGATAAAGCAGAATCTGTATCTATTGCATAGAAAAAAAGCCCAGTTAGTTTGTGTTACTAATCTAATCCATGAAAACAGATAAACTGTTTCAGACTTTATAATGACACAGCACACCTGTTGCTGTGTGAACAAAAATAGAGAAACTTCAGTTTTAAATTATTTTTCTTTGGGGATTTTCAGATGGGCCATTGAAGGCTTTATATGGGGTATCTGCGTCTTGTTAGGAATAGAGAGAAAAGAAAGAAGCCTATATGATTATATTAGTTGTCTCTACTAGAGTCCTATTGTTTTAAAAAATCTGGAGCAGACTAAAAAATCTAGGTATACATTTTCTTCCTGAAATACACTTATTTTGCATTGCATGCCTATGCTTGTAAGTAAATGGATTAAACAGTGTGTGTATAATCTGAGAAACACCAAATGTTTGCCTCCTTCAACCTAGATGTCAACCCCAAGATTCCTGTATGAAAACTCCTTCTGTGAGCACTATGTTTTTTTTTTTTTAATCCTCTTAAATGTGACTATCCTAGGAAAGATAACACAGTGTTGCTAGTACTCTAATGTGAATTTATTTATACTGCCATTCCTTGCTCCACTCCCCAAGCAAGACAGGGCCCACATAGCAGGAGAGTGCTAAAATATGGATGTGTGCATGTGAGTGTCCCGAAAAGGGAAAGAGGGTCAAAGAACACAACCCAACTTAGGGAACATTCATTGACTATCTGTGATGTATGAGAGACACTTTGCCTTTACACACTTTTGCTTAAGGATACCGTCCTGACATTTACAATATAAATTGCAAATTTCCATCAAAGTATTATTACTGACTCACAATAAGAGTTAGGAAATTACTGAAATTAAAAAAGAATCCATTTTTGATAAATGTTTCTTGGGATTTATATATGTATGATTTAAAATGCATAGATTTATTATATAGTATATTATGCAAAAAAACCCCCACCTTTAGTGATTTACTTAGATTTGGCATAATAAAACCATAGTAATCTCTTAGGGTGGCAGGAAGTTGAATTATAGGGCTTATAGAATCTGCTCAGATATTTTAGAAAAGGAAACTCAAATTACTTTTGAATTTCTGATTTTACCAACATTCACAATATTATGCCATAATTACATTAAGACTTAGAAGGTGATACCAAAGTTGCTTATGTGTAAAAAAAAAACAACTATTATTTTATTGACTTTCATGTCTCCCCCTATAGTCCTCATAATTTTAAGTAGAATGATATATGTGAAAGTATTTTTTAAGCTTTCAATTAGATATAATTTTCTTAAAATGATAAAAATCCTTTCATTCTCAGACAATCTATAATTTCAGTACTGGAACTTACAAGAAAAGAAACCATGCCATATGTAATAAAATAACAATTCACATATATTATGAACTTCATCTTCCTCATATATAAAATTCATTATAATGAAAATTTTACATAACATATCTTCACACAGAATGTACAGAAAACAAGTTAAATGTGTAAAAATGGGTCCTTTTTAAAAAAATAGAACATGTTAGTTGTTGAAACCAGTAGTTTACCTAGGCAATGTTTCCACTAAACACATGTTTTTTGAGCCCTTTTATTTTGACCTCTTAAATGTTAGCATGCAAATACTTAGTGACATTTTTATCTTTTATGCTACCATGTGTTTGGTTTTTCTTTCACCAGTACACAATGCATTTGCATTTACAAAGCCAGGTAATTTTCCAGAGAATGGAATAAAACACCTCTAACAATGCAGAGCCGTGGATAAATTGGGGAAAACATGCATCCCAGTCTCTTCTATGCACTCCATATTGCCTCCTTTGCAGTTATCATTCACACCTAGACAGTTTCTCACGTTCTCCCTGTCTCACTTTGTAACATATTTACACAGTATTCGCAATTCCATTCCCCATCTCTCAGATATTAAAATTACTAATACTCTTTGCAAGATCATTCTGTACTTTTGACAGAAATATAACTTTGCATCGGATACCTATTTATGCTTTCTTAAACCTGCTACATCCTATAGTGTTTTTAACTTTACAAAATATTCTGTGTACTTCGTTACTATTTGATAAAATGATAGTGCTTCTAAGTCTTTGGATGTGCCTCTGAGTCACAATTGATATAGCAAAATCTATTAGAAATAGCATTTTGAACACATTTTGCAATAAAGAATTTGAGATAGTTTCTTTCTAAAAGCAAAAGAAGTTGCTTTAAAATAGTTTGTGGGTGTTTTTTTTTGTTTTGTTTTTTTTTCCTTCTAAAGAAATATCTACTACAAAATTGGTAGCTGCAGTTTTCTTGAGATGTGTGTTGTTGTTTTTTTTCTGGGTTAAGAACATTTATAAAAAAAATAATAGTTCTGCTACTCCTTCCCCCATAAGCTTTCTGATCAAATATTATTCAGAAATTGAGTTTAATAAATAAGCAACAGTATTTGCTGCAATTCTAGGTATTAGCACACATTGTACAATATAAGTGCTCCATAAAGATATTCATATGTACTTATAAATATGTATGCATATCCACAATATACCACTTTTTTTGTAAATTGAATAAATTTGTATCTATTTAAAACACTCCAGGGGGAGATTATTTTGAGAAAATCAGGTGAATTTTTCTATTCAGCAGTCTTATTGAGATTTTAATCAGTTAAATGCTCAAAATATTAAATATTGAAAAGTTGAAATTATTTCCCTTGTCATTCCCATCTTGTTTCCTTCATTTCTTCATAAGACAGGTCTCTTTGTTGCACCAAGAACTATATTACTCTGTTCTTTTTTCCCCCTCTTTTTACAATTTGATGTAGGCAATTAACAAAAAGCACCATGCTTTTCTTGTGTTCATATAAAACAGGAAAACAGGCAGGAATTCCAATTATATACAGATTGAGTCTCATATTTTAAAATGCTCTGTGATCTGTGGTGTGCGAATTTCTTGACTAAGTAGATGTGGGCTTTCAAGTTATTATATGAGACAGAAGAACTTTGACTTGATAATGTTAACTTTGAAATAGCAAATATAAGCATTAACAAAATAAAGTTAAAGTTTTATTTACCCCCATTAGATTTTCCTCCAGAAAAAAAACATTCAAAATGCAAGTTGTCTCAAACCATAATCCATTAAACACCTCATTGAGACAATAATCCCAAGAGAGTTACACTGACTTTAGCATCTTGTTATGTGTAATCTTTAAGTAAGCCGCTCACTAAATGATCAAGTTAGTATATACGGATTTGTACTTTTATAATTATGGTGGTTTGAGAGGATGGTTTTCTTTCATGTAAAAAAGTATTGTTTTTAAGACTTTCACGAGTTTATGCTGGTCTTCAGTACAGACATTATGTGCTTTAGTTTTAAATAATGCATTGTCTCTGATAGAAAAACAATGCATGAGAATCATTTTAAAAAAATAGTTTTCAAAGTCCTTCAATTTCTTTAGAACTTGAAAAGATTATATTGCCAAACATTTACTAAAAGTGACTGTAGAAAACAAAAAAGAATTATTAAGGAAGTTTAACTACATTTTTGAATCTTGAAAGCTATCATTTTAAATGCACATTTGATTGCTAGTTCTTTTTAAATAACGAGTATAACAAAAACGGTTAAATATTTTTTTCAAAAAAATCACATTAATAAAGAATGGAAATAATTTATGTATAAATTTAATTCTTCACAATGGTATATGGAGGACTCTGTGTTTTATTTTGGGATTTCTGTCATCCTAGGTATTTTGGAAATATTTGCTGTGTCTCAGGGGATTGTAGGAATACGAGGAGTTTTCAGCAACAAATTTTTAGCGATGTCAAAAAAAGGAAAACTCCATGCAAGTGTAAGTAGAACCACTTTATATTTGTCAAAGGTGTTACAAAGATTTTACATTTGTACAATGGGATGAATTGACTTTCTAAATTAATAAGTAGGTAGGAAAATTTGCCCAGAGAACTTAATGTATATTGTTTTTGTAAAATTATTTGTACATTTAACCAAAACATTGTATATGTTTTTGTAAGTACTCATGTAAATATTTTATTTACTTGAAAAGATAGAGTCCACAACATTTTTAATGCTAATTGCACTTAAAAATTACATTTTCCAAGTGATTGCCATTATTTATTGTTTAAAAGTTGTCCACGTGAGAGAAATATGAAAACAACATAGTATATAACATTTTAAATTTATATATTTATGATGATTATGTGTGTTTAGTTGATCAGGTTCTTTTTTAATTTTACAAGTTATTCATGATGTTAAAAGTTGGGTCACAGTAATATAGCATATTTTTATTTTAATAAGTACGGAGTGAAAAATGTAATAATTAGACCACTTTGACCTTACAAAGAGAAATTTTACTTGATCCATTTGTGAAATACTCATCTTTTAGTTTTGTTGCATCAAAAACTATTTTTAAAACTCATCTTATATTTTTGTTGGATCAAAAACTATTTTTAAAACTATAAAGACTTAATTTGGCCCTCATAAACATTTCTTCCGACCATATACATTTTGTAAGCAATTTATAAATTATAGATTGCTTTGCTTTGTTCTGAAAATGTTGATTACTTGAGAAGCATTAATGCATTTTAAAGGTAATAAAATATGTTTAGCTTAGTTTCCTACACACAGATTCTGTTAATTTCTATTGGTATATATGCACAGCACTTAAAAGTGATTTATGCTTTTTCTATAGTATACTAAGTTTTGTCACATTTAAGTCATTTGAAAAAGCAAGTCTTTAATGATAGTCCTTTAATCCTTACTCTCTTTCATTCTTATTACATGAATTAGAGAAAGATCACTTTTCCAGTTTTCAAAATAAATAGGAAATTTTGAGTGCAATCAATTGAAATTTACTACTTATGATTTCTACTGTACAGACCTTTAAAAAACTCAACGAGAACTCCATTTGATTCAGTGTGTAAGACTTCCCCTACCATCTAAATATGATTTGTTAAATACCATTTGGAGGAGGCAATAGAATTCAAGAGATTTCTACAGTTATTTGAGGATTAAAAGACATAACACGTGTAAAACTTTTAGATCAGTGCTTGTTACATTGTAAGTGCTCAACAAATATTACTTTTATTAGTATATGATGATCTAAATATAATAATCTACCGAAACTTCAGTTCATTAAGATAAATGAAAAAACCTTTATTACCTTTTTTAATCACCCACTACCAGAATTATAAAATGATTTACCAAGTTTATTTTTTGAGCTGGTTACTATATCCTAGTAAGCTATAATATAGTGTTCATAAAATAATTGCTTTTTGATTTTCTAAATTATTTTAAGGGGCAAATTTCTGCTTGCTTTGGGAATGCCACTTTATTTTTAAAATTTTGATTTTGAAAAATCCACATATAGAATAGAAAACAATGACCAAACATCTGCATGGAATAACTTCTTCTCATTCAACTTCAAGCTTATAAAAGATTGAAACACCTTCAAAATCCATCAGAATAATATGCAGTGCATGAATAAAAACTCTCTCTTACTAGTTTGTTTTGGATGAAAATATTGATTTTTTTTTCATATTCATACTCTAGTACATGGAAAAAAAAATAGACTAGACTTAGGCCAGCTTAAGGATAATTGCCACAGAAAGCAAAGTATTACAAATGGACGCCAATTAGAAAGGTCAAACTGAGAGGTTAGGATACATGATTCCTCTGTCAAAAGCAAGTAACAAATTTCCAGAAATTTGACCCAAATGTCTAAGGATGGCTGGCTGAAATAATGCAGATAATGCACAAACAGCATCTGTTATTCTTTCTCATTTTGGCAGGCTAAAGCTATTTCATGGAATAATGACTTTTAAACAGTACAAAGCAAGTCTTGCTCTTGTCACTCATGGAAAGCCTTTGATATAAAAGTCATTCTGATGACTTTGAGCCAAATTGCAGATAAAAAATTAACCCCCGTGATTATGCGGATTCTTTTTAAACCAATTGTCTAAGCCTACTTTTTCTTATCAGAGCTTTTATTAGCACTCCCCCCGCCCAAGCTGGAAACCTAATTAAATTATAAAGTGATTAATTTAGAAGGAAGTTGAATTTAGAAATAGTATTAATCCTAGCAATTATCCATTTTAATCCCAGATGTTTTCTTTCCTGTTATCAATTTCTACTTAAGCTTGTTGAAAAATTCTTAATGTAACTTTAATGTACTTACAGTACTTGAATTAGTTGTTTTATAAAATTGTATGATAATTTAAAAAGGTTAAAAAACCTTATATTTTTAGGATTAAATGTGTAATTTGTGATTTGTTTCAAATTAGTAATTGTGTAGAGGCATATAGTGAGTATCTTTTTTTATTTGTTATTTTTTAATATTTTATTTTATTTTTTATTAAGGTATTATATATGTACATATTTTACCATTGCCCCCCCCCCACTCCCATACATGCCCTCCCTCCCCAGAGTTTTGTGTCCATTGGTTATGCTTATATGCATGCATACAAGTCCTTCTACTGAGTATCTTTATATTCATTTTCACACACACACACACACACACACACACACACACACACACACAGTCCTCACTTAATGTCATCAAGAAGTTCTTGGAAACTACAAATTTAAGCAAAACTATGTATAAGGAAACCCAATTTACCATAGGCTAATTGATACAAACACAAGTTAATTACTATGGCATATCTCATCACAAAACTTCTGAATAAAGACCACAAACACTTCTAATATTAAACATGGAAAGAAATGTGAGCTATGCAGATATTTAAGAAAGGTTCATAAGAACAAGTAAGATAATTCTTCTATAAGCCGCTTATTCAGTTCAAGGCCGCAACAGCTCAGGGCACTGGACGGGAACACATCATGGCCTGGACACCCTTCCATTGAACAGCCATCACACCCGCACGCACTCACACTGGAACAATTCAGACATGCCAGTTCAGTTCATCTCAAGTGCACAGGGTTGGGGTGTGGGGAGACACTGGAACCCCCAGAGAAAACTCATGCAGACATTATGAGAATGTGCAATCTCTACACAGAGGACCCAGCCCAAAATAGATTTTTTCCCCCTAAGCAGTGCTATAATAAAATGGTGTTGAAGGAAATAACATTGTGCAGGACCTGCACTATGTATAAAATCATATCTTAAACTTACACAATGTTATATGCCAATTATGTCTCAAGAAGATTGGAAACAATTTAAAAATTAATAAAGATTACTTTTAGAGTTTTCCCTATAAAGTACATTTGAAGTAAACCATTTTAAATAAACAATGTAAAGTGTTCATATAATTATGGGGAAAGTAAATCAATAGTCTATTGAGAAACATTCATGGAAAATTGTAGATTCTCAACCTGGTTTTTATATTAACAATCAGAATATTAAATATCAGTTACTAGACAAAGATATTGTATTTTCAGAATTCTTAAAAGCTCTTTGACTCACAGTATCTCATTACATAATTAGAGGAAGAGTCTCAGAGATATTTAAATATTTCCCTACGTTAACACAGTTAAGTGATTGAAATAGACCTATATCCTTTTAAAATTCTGTCTTTCTCTTTACAGGCTATAATGCTTGATAAGTAAAAGTTAGTTTCCAAGAAGATATCATATTTTGTTTGGAATTAATTACATTGTCTTTACCTATTATTTTATAGGAATTAATAATTTCATGATTTAATAATACTTTTTATATTACACTTTAAAGAACAAATATTGTGGTTTATCTTCAGAATATTTTACTTTTCCTTCCCCAATTCTCCACCCCCACACCCAATTCACTCTCTCTCTCTACCCCTCTGCCCCCTCCCTCCGCCCCTCATCTGTCTCTCTTATTCCAAGATCTTTTTGAAATATTTTTTATCCCATCTACTTCTGTATTCCCCCAATGCTTGCTTTTAAAATCTGGAAAAAAGGGCATGTGTTTGCAACAGAACTTATCTCTGAGCTTAACGAATGTTGGTTATTCAATGTGATGATGACTTTCTTAGGGAATTCCCATTAAGATAAACTTTCAAAACAGAGATCTGTGCTGTCCACAGAAAATCTTCATTTAGAAAATGCATCATTGTCAATGGACACAAAAATGGGAAATAGAGATATCAGCCTAGAATGGTTAGACTTGGGCAACATTTACTCCGATTTCTTTTGTGTGCTATGTTTGTAATTGTTAGAAGTTTTCTTTGAACTTCAGCCATCTCAGTAAGCATTCTCCATACACTCATTCAACGTACCTACTTTTTACTAATCTACATGCAGTTCTCCTTAAAACCACTGCTACCATAATCTAAATATACAATGCAAACAAATCCTACCATGCAGTTTCTTCAGCATTCTTTACAAGGATGAAAATGTATGGTCTTCTCAAATCAAAATGCACTGGGAATCAGAAAGAGTTCGAGTAGAAAACTGCTTCGCAGAGTCATGAGGGTTAGTCAGAGCCCTTGCTGTGACCTCTTTCTCAACTCATTCCCAGCCTGGAATCCCTTACAGAACTGAGCTTGCTTCTCTTTCTGCCTCTATTTTTTTGTTCCTGCTCCTTCTTGACACCGCTCCTGCTCTCTCCTCAGGTTTGCTTGTTTATCAAAAGTCCTATAGAGAGCCTTCCTGCATTTATCTGCCATGGGTCCACATGTACGAAGCCTTGAGCGTCACAATTAGACTGTCATTCCACTCACCTTAAACTGTATCATTATGTTTCGTTTTTTTATTCCTTGGTTTTATCAAGGTTGAAAGTAGGAAAATTCAAGTTATAATCTATTGTGATAGTTGCGCATTTAAAATGAGAAAATACATGTAAAACACTTAGACTAGTGCCTGGAAACTGTATCAGCATTTCATGTTAAAAACAAACTT